CTCTCCGGTCGAAACGCACCAGATTTACAATCTACCGAACTCTCAAAAATACGGGGCCAGGCCGTCGATGGGGTTTGGCAAGCCGGTCTTGTTTTCCCGCTTGAACGGGAAGTTCCAAGGGCAAAAATTTGATGGCATTGCACAGGCCCTTTGGCACTAAATTACGGGTCGATTATATAACGTAATACAATCATTCCTGTCAAATCGTGAATTGAAGGTCGTTCACAACGGATTCTCCTCCAGTTCCTATCCCACGAACACAGGTGTTCCTCAAGGCTCCATCCTAGCCCCGCTCTGACCTACCTGACGCCGTAACGTCTCAAGTCGGCATCTACGCGGATGACACCACAATTTATTCCCGCCTCAAAAAAAAAATCTAGTCTCGCTGAAAAACTCACCTTGGCGTGCGTCTCGAAAAGGACCCCAATCGATTGTGAACTGGGGCATGAATTTTTGCTTCGAAGACAAAACTGCTCTCTATTAATTCTCCATTAGAATGTCTGACGCTCAACTTCTCGAGAGCAACTCTCTGAGGTTTCGGTCTCACGTTGACTGCTGACCTGAGATGGAATAAATATCGAGTCAATTGCCCGTCCACTGCTTTATTTTCGCCCTGCATGGAGTATTGCTGCCATATATGGTCTGGCGCCCTTCTGTTTGCCCTCGGGGTTCTTGATAGGCTCCAGAAGCGGATATGCACATGGTTGGACCTGCCCTGGCGTCTCTGTCTACAGTCACTTTCTCACAGACGCACCGTCGCCTCCATCTGTCTGTTCTACAAATACTTTCATGGAAATTGCTCCGAGGAGCTGCATTTCCCAGACTTCATGAGTTCAAAGCGGCCCTACGAGGCTGGCTTCCCGCTCACCCTTCACTGTCGAAACTCCTAAATGTAGCCGTCTCTTCTACTCTAATAGCTTCATGTTCGCACCTCTCGCCTGTGGAACTCTCTTCCCCTTCTCCTGTTTCCCTGTGAGTTATAATCTCCTATTATTCATGTAATGTCAATCGACATCTCCAGTTGCCCTAATCTATCTACTACCCTCATCCTATCTTCTATCACTCCTATCTGATCTTCCTATTTTCTGTAACCCTTGCGTCCTAGTGGCTTCCCGCCTTGCTTTGGGGTGAAATGCTTAAAAAAATATTTATATATATATATATATATATATATATATATATATATATATATACAGGGTGCGATGTAAATTGTCGTCATTTTATATTTTAATGTCGTCAGTTTATTTTATTTTGATTTTTAGTAAGGGCAGTTAGACACCGTCTGTGAGACAAAGAGTATCATGACGCAATTAACTCCGCCAGAAAATTGGAAAGGGCATGCTGTACATCTTGGCATTCGCACCAGAAGCTCCAAGACGACCGTTTCAAAGTGGGTGACAGTCTCCTTGTTCTGATAAGAAAAAATACCCAGAATTTGTTGGTGAGGGCCTCAGACTCAATCTGGAGGACAACATCAAATGCCTTGAGGAGGTAGTGCTGCCCTGGATCAAGAACGTGGCTGCTGGAAGAAATAATGTCTGGCAACAGGACCCTGCACCATGCCACAGAAGCAGGAGAACCAAGTCATAGCTGTCAGACAATTTCTGCGACCACATCAACCCTTGCATATGGACACCAAACTCCCCAGATTGCAATTCCCTTGATTATTTTTGTATGGGGTGCAGTTGAGCGAGATACAAAAAAAAAATTCTTTGTAACAAAAATATGAACTGAAAGCAAGGATTATGGCAGCATTCACCAATTTAACAAGTAGACCGTCCAGAAGAGTTGCAGGGGATTCCGAAGTCATCTGGAGGCTGTGGTTGAAGCCAATGACGATTTTATTGAATAAATTTACTCTTCGGTATTTCAAGATATTTTTGTATAATTTTGGTAAATATATCTGTTAAAATGAGATGTAAGTATTATTTTCATTTTCGAGTAATTTAGACGACAATTTATCCATCGTGCCCTATACTCTATCGCTATTTCCAAAGCAAACCTTCAGACGAGCTACGTTCCTAAGTCCCACCAGTTCAGGCCTTCACGGCTAGGACCGCCATGCCAAGTACAGAGAGCCGACTCAACTTCATACCCTTTGTATTCCATTTGTACGGAAGAAGTCCCACTGAGACTGCTTTTTCCCGAGAACTTTGTGAATATATCTTTTAAATTGAGTTGTCAGTGTTATTTTTCATTTACGAGTAAATTAGGCGACAATTTATCCATCGCACCCTGCCGATTTAATTGAATAAAATTTCTCTTTGTTATTTCAAGATAGCGTACACTGATTGCTAGTGAGAGTGATAAAGTGCTCGGTGTAAAATAACAGAGTTAAAATTTATACCAAAATAAATATATAACTTTTTCTTCATCGAGTTTTATGCACGTGGCAATCTTAAATCTGACAATTGTAATATTTCAGTATTTATTATTTACTCTTAAGATAATGGAGCAGTCATTTAATTGTACGAAAAAATCGGTAGAAGTTGAATTTAAT